ATATTATACGGTATCAATTTTGATGCATTAGATGCGCATTTCGACAAATAATGTTTCTTTAGTGATGCTCATGCCGAAAAATTGGAAATCCGAAATAATTAAACAAAGAAGAATTTTAAAAAATGAAGAACTTAAAAAAGGGAAGCCGAAGGCTGGATCCAAATACGTCGAAGAACAGCGCTATACATAAGGGAGGTAATCCTTAATTTTGAAATAACTTTTTAATTTTACAACAGCAATAAAATATAAATCCGCATTTACAATCTAGTACCGAAGTACTTAGCTACTGGCTGTAGAGACCCTCAGTGACTTACAGTCCACCAGCAGAGGCCTCGACCAAGGGGTCAAAATGTAAATCTTATATGGTACCAATTTTGATGCGCCAGATGAGCATTTCGACAAATTATGTCTCTTCAAATCCAGTGAATATGTAGTATTATGAACTGTTTGTGTTTGAATAGATTATATAGGGACTATTTATAGACTATATAATAAAATGCCCTCTTCACAGATTTGTATTGTTTGAAGGTATTTGAGACCAATCACTGTTCGGTATTTTCACTTTTTACATTTTGATCTTAATTTTCAATTCAATTGTTTCTTTGAATTACTTCTTGGGCTGATTTATGTTTCTGATTTTATAAAAAAAAAAAACATGATGTTATTTGGCAATATTGTGTGGACATACATATTGGCATAAAGAATGAAAAATGATGTATCTTCATGTCTAAATTTTACCTTTGGCGGTGTTGTGGGTACATGTACACTGGCCTAAAATACAGTGAGGAGATCCTTCTGAGCAGGAAACCGTAGTACACTCGTGGTGGAAAAATGTACACCTCTCAGTTGCAACTGAATTGTAAAAATACGAAGTACAAGATATTTCTATGGTTTAAATAAACCAACCAATCTGCGACGTTTTCAATTAAATTATGTTACATTTATACATGTATCATAATATAATAATGATATATTATTTTTAATTTATCCACTAGTAATGTTTAAGCTAAGACTATTATATGTGAGAAATTACTTTGCCAAAACCTTTCCTAATTAAAGAAAAATAAGGCAATATAATAAGGGGTCTAATCGCAGGAGATTGTTCTTTTTCATATGCATTTTTTTATTATTATTCCTGATTATTACTCATGTAGGTATTTTTATAAGGAGAAAACGGACCATAAGGAACAGATAAAACGATTTTGAAGAACATACATGGATGCATCAATTCTTGGTCCGAATCCCCAGGTGTTTCAAATAAATTTTTTCCTATAGGTTCATTAATACTCCGTTTTGAGAGTTTTTTTTAACATTATATTTTAGCTAACTCAATCTTATCCACAGCAACTTTTGGTATTGTTAACCCGAGTGATGCATATTTATGAGCATTTTAGGAAAGTTGTCCATCTTTTTTTACTCTTTTTTATGACTTAATGATCAAAACAAAAAAAAATTGAAGGTTTATTAATCCCCTTTTTAATTAACTCACCAGCGACGACAAGAAGAGTTATACACAAGATTGTAGCCTTCATGTTGATCAAGTAAAATAGATAAGAATACGCATTTTAATCATATATACTACAGACATATCTCAGCGCATGCGCTATTATTTATCTACTTTAGTACTTGGCAATATGGAAATATACAATTTTTTCACGTCTTATGAAGTATTGTCAAGAAATGTGAATAGATGTAAAAGACAAGGGTAGGTAATAGGAAATTGTACTCATTTTTTTTCTTTATTTGATGTCCAATAAAATCTAGAAGACAGCTTTTAGTGCTTGTATTCATAAGAATCGTAGTTACCAAATAATTTCCGTAGTAAGAAATCACAGTAAAATTATTCTACACGCTCTGTATTTTTCTTTAGTATTAACAATGTTTGCATGTTATTGATAAATAAAATCTCTTTATCAGATTCAGAGTTTCGCTGATTGAGGAAATGAACAGATATCTGTGACAGAATGCAGCAGTCAAATTTTGGTGGATGTACTTTCATTGTTCACTTCTTTAACTTGATATAATCACGATTAAATTGTCAGTACTGTGACATTGTAACTCATACTATAATAAGTACTAAGGTTATCTATGGTGAGGTTTCTGCGCGTCTGATTCAGTCGTGTCCATACAATCATGAATGTCATGAAAATATATATTTCTGTTTATGAACTTTATTTATACGTTTTCGTACGTACAGGACTGTGCGACACAGGTTTTGATTTTTTTCCCCTATCAAGCAGTTATTATGGCTAGAATTAATGAGAAAATGCATAAACATTGATTTCGTGTCAGTGTTTAAGATTTATTTAATTGTTTGTTCGTTTGTTGTTTAGCGTCCCTCTAGAGAATTTTCTACTCATATGAAAACACTACCATACGCCAATGGAGAGCTACAAATTTTGACCTATACTCGGCACTTACGGCCATTGAGCAGTGAGGGATCTTTTTCGTGCCTGCACCTACTGTCACACAGGACCTCGGTTTATACGGTCTTATCCGAAGGACCGATCTCCACGTCCCGCAGTGGAATTCGATCCCGAGAAGTAAGCATCAACTCCTTACTCCGCGACCCTAGAGTAAACGCTCTATACACTGCTCCATGTGGGCTTAGTATTGAAGATTTAAGAGCAAGCTTAAAACATAGCTCAGACATATAAATCCACAATATTTTTAAGTTTCAGATTTATATAATATCATAAATGAATGTATGAATTTATCTCAAAACACAAATTAAAATGTGCTAAAGGAACCTAGATATTAATCTTCGTATAATTACGTACACATAAGGTACTATGAAATTACTGAAGCAAAAGCTTGGAAATAGTACATGCATGTGCTCTTTCAATTTGTCAATCGATATATCCATTAGCGAGACGCTCTAGCAAAGCATACACATGTACATGTGATGGAAGATTGATTTTTTTCACAGAAATTCTTTTACTTAATTAGGCATTTTTTAATGCTATGTATTTCCATGAATGCATTAGGGTTGTGATACCCATTAGAAAATGAAGAAATTGAAGCATTCGGACTTCGTTGGGTATAGTTAGGTACGGGCTTAGAAAATTTGTAGGATGGAAAACCGTTAAATGACGAGCTATTGGACTTGGTTGAGCTTAGTTATGTACGAGCATGGAAATCCGTGTAGGGTGTAGATAAATACAAACTTAGGAACTTGGGTGGTTTTAGTTAAATACGAACTTAGAAAAATTTGTATGATGTAGTTCAATAAGAGCTAATGGCATTGGTTGGCTGTCTAAAAATACGACAATAAAAATACCATCTAATAGAATGTAGTGGTTGTGGATAAATACAAGCTCAAGAACTTTGTATGAAATAATAAAATACGAGTTTAGGAGCTTGGTTGTCTGACGTTATAAACGAGCAAATGAACTCGGTTAGTTAAGTTTAATACATGCTTAGGAACTTTATATGTAGGATGGAGTAAAATACACGCTTATGAACTTGGTTAGATAAAATTACTTACATTAAGTACGTTGGCGGATGAAGTTAGATACCTTAGGAACTTGGTAGAGTTAAGTGCATATGACCTTTAAACAGGCGTAGGATGTAGTTTAACTTGAGATAGTAAAATAAAGTACAAATAAATAGACTTGGTAGGTTCTAGTTAAATACAAATTAAGAAACTTTTTTAGAATGGAGTTAAATGCGAGCTTATAGAATAAGAAGAATAATTCGAACTAATAAACTTGGTTTGAGTGGAGTTAAATACAAGATTAGAATCTGGTAGGGTTGAGTTTAATACTAGCAATTGACTTGGCTGGCTAAGTAAAATACAAGCTTGAGAACTTAGTAAGGAAGATTTAAATTATGAGTACAAAAATTGGTTTGCTAAGTTTAATATTAAATAATGGATTTGGCTTTGATTGAATTAGATTCAAGTTAAGAAACTTGGTTGAAATCAAATGCATTAATTTCCAACTACCTTCCGGAGAGTCTAAAATCTAGTTGATGCCTTATTGATAGACAACTCTTGAAGAAATTGTCAACTGTTATGCTTGTATTTCTAATGTTAATGACATTTTGTTATGAGAAAATCTAGCATTAAAAAAAAGAAACACTTTTACCCGCAATAAATTTTGATCTTGGATATTCTAAAATTGTGTCAAGTAACGTATAATGCTTTCAGAATGTTTAGAAATTTAGAATGTTCATCGTGAACAATTTGCCCGCCACCAAAATTCTGCATCCCTCTTGTTTCAAGCCTTAGGGAAGTGCTTGAGAATTGTCCAGTAGGCTTATATCTTAGAATGTGGCTAGATTCATCATAGAATAAAAGTTCCTTATGTATCTTAAATCATCTTTACTCCTTCTGGAATATATAATAACATGAAAGGCATCATTTGTTTTACAAATTTTAAGGAAAATATTTTACCAAAAGCTAATGACAATAAACATTTATTATATTTTTACTTATATATTTCATGGAAAACAAAATAGTAAAATGTCATGTAGATATAAACGTGTTATTATGTAAATATACTTGTACCTCTTGTACATAATTATGTATATAATTCCATGACAATTTGTTGCAAGGCGAGACATACAATAAGCTTTTACTTTTAACAATTTCCTTACTTTCAATGGGCATAGAAGAGATTTACATCTAAAAAAGGACGCTGATTTCTATCGTCTGAAGACGTACTATATTTTCTTTTTCAAACATGGGATAGGAAATTGTATGTGACGAAATGTTGTATTGTTTACGTGGTGGTTTGCTTGGGACGGAGACTTTGTTGTTAGGACCTGGTGGATTTGAGAGGACATGATGGGCCATAGAGAAAATCATTACAAGTAGAAGTAGAGGGAATCCATCCAATGATGTCCCCATATGGACTTTCTAAGCCGAGATTGTATTTATTGTACATATGTAGAAACATTTATAATTAATTTTTAAAAACCTTGTTATTTTTTGTTTTGGCTTACTTTTACTCATCTCTTTAAGTATGTATGTGCTGGTCAGAAGTATAACATTATAATATTTTTAAAATCCTGTGGAATTTTATTTCAAAACACATGTCATTTTTTTTTAAATAAAATGATTAATTTCCTATTCCAGGCCCTTCTTATCTTCCTCCTGGAATAAGATTGTCAAATGGACAATGACATTCTCCATCAACACAGTGCTGGTTACCGAAGGCGAGGCAATGTTCTGTGCAATCAGAGGCTGATGTGCAAGCTTGAATTTAAAAAAAGAAAAATAATGATATTTTGGCTCATTAAATTCAGTAAATTGCAATCAAAGCAAATACTATCTTAAGAGCAGGTCATGTTTAATTTGTCAACAATGATTGCACCCGTTAATTTCTAAATAGAAATAATCTTAATAGGAATAGAAGGTAAATTTCAATCATGGATATTTCTTTCACCTGATTCAGATGTTTAATGGATATTATTTATTCTGGATACCAATATTAATTTAATTCCATAAAGTTGGATTTTATGGTGTTCTCCTTCTTTTTCAAATTGTCGTATTTTGTAATATGCTTTAGATTTAGTAAGTAAAAAGGTGTGTGATAATCTGAAAATCTTACCTTTGGCTGTATTGTGGGTACATCTACATTGGCCTAAAATGCAATGAGGAGCTCCATCTGTACAGGTAGTTCCACTACATTCATGGTGGAAAAATGTACATCTCTCAGATGCAACTGTATTGTGAAAGAAACCAAAAAATACAATGATTATTGAATTTTATTAATATGTCTACTAGCAATTTATTCCAATATAACGAAATACTTTATCATTATTTGATACATTTATATTTGCAATTTCAATGATATATATATATATATATATATATATATATATATATATATATATATATATATATATATATATATATATATATATATATATATATATATTATATATATATATATATATATATATATATATATATATATATATATATTAGATAAATCTACTTTATATTATATTTATATCTTTAGAATAACATTATATTACTGATTCATTTATCCACTGGGGAGGGGGGGTGAGTTCAACCCTTTTTAACGAAAATAATTACTCATTCGCGAAACAATCTGCATAAGAAAGATAGGGACTATTGCAGTAATGATCGGAGTCAGTGTTAGATATTGTTCTATAGCGCATGTTTACTTCTTTATCAAGTATATTCAACACTGTTTCCTGAGACCATGCGATGTATTTCAAGAATTGTAAGTGCATTTGCAAACATGGAATATCTAGGTAGAATTCCAAATAATAATTCATTATTTGATTGATAAAATCATTGAAATAACTGATCCCACTTTCACAAAGCATCGTTTTCTTTAATTCAGTTCACGATACCTAGTTTGGCGACATAATTTTGAGGACGTTATTGAGAGGATTAAGGCAGCCCATGAGTGTAAAAATCATCAATTTATTATAAAAAAAATTATAATAAAAGATATCTCTATTCTCTGTGATCGGATTGAAGATATGATGATAGGGAACGCAGAAAGAGTTAGATAAAAAGCATCCCATGCAATCATTAAACAATGGAGATCATATTCTTTTGATGTAAATTGTAATTACTCTTTTTACACTTAATGATGAACTAACAAACCAACAGAGAGATTTTAAAATTGAATTTTGGAATTCTTGTTCTTAAACCTCAGCTGTTTCAAATGTCTCTCAAATATGTCTATCGATTTATCAAAATTTGTCCTGAGATCTATTTGTGCATCATATTTTAGCGAAATTCCTACTGTATTTCCTTGGTTTATCGTATTTAGTGCTGTATATTTGCATTTTTGAGAATCTTTATCGAGCTTCCCTTCACGTTCTTTTTTTTCATAGTTTTTTTTTAAATATTAAAAAAACAAAATTACAGATTAATGTAAATACAGATATACTCATGTAACTTACCAGCGACGACAAGAAGAGTTATACACAAGATTGTGGCCTTCATTGTGATCAAGAAACAATGATAAGAACACGCATATTACACAATAAATACATACCGATGTATATCTCAGCGCATGCGCCATTAGTCTACGTCAGTATTGACAATATAGAATTGCGTCATCTGTTCGTGCTTAATGAAGTAGTGTCATGAAATATGTTTTAAAATGGAATATAAAAAACAAAATTGGTAAAAGTGATTTGTATCTACTTTTCCCTTTAAATTGATGTACAATGCATTTTAAGATCGATAATCATATTATTAATAAATTTATAAGAATCTCACTTGTCTCATGATAGAAGAAATCAAACTTTCCCTTTATTTTACACGTTGTGCTCATTTTAAGCCTTGAGCAGGTTACTTGTTATTAATCAACAATAGATCGAAAGTTAAAAATCTCTTTGATATATTAAACATTTTTGCTAAGTGAAGAAATCAATTTGAAACACACACACACACAAACACACATACAGACACACACGCAAAAGATGTATAAGGACAGAATATCGAAGTCTTTTTTATTATTGTGATCATAGTGCACTTACCGGTAGATTGTTCACTATTTTTAATATTCTAAAACAATGATTGCTTTGCCAGTAAAATAGGTCAACGTAAGTCAATCTAAAGTAGTGTCCAAGGTTATCTGGGGTCATTAGACTATTTCCGCGCGTCTATTTACAATCGTGTTAATACAATGATTTATGTCATGAAGACATTTATTTCAGAACACAAACTGTACTTATATTCAGTATCTCTATATTTAGGATTATGTACTAAATAATTTGCTTTCAGTCATGATTCTGGTAGCTTTAATGTACGGAATCAAAGAAATCCAATAAAACATTATAGGGGTACTTATTTTTATACAGGGTGTCCCATTATAAACATTGCATATGTTGTCCAATTTTATTCACACGATTTGACAGTCGTTAATAAGAAAACAACAAAATGAGTTCACTTTTAAGAATGCTATGGTTTTTAAATGATACCCTCTAAATGACGTTCTATCTGTGTAATGATAATGTCAAGTCATTGCTAAAAATTCCTTAACTTTAGACAACAGTGCCTGTCTTGGTAGTAACTTATGGATTTTCATCAGAGGTAAAGTTAAAACCTTAATATATGTTAAGGGTTCTGGTTTGGGTTTAGCAGCAGTAACGTAAGACTAGAATTGATAATTACAGTTTCAAAATGAGGGTAGCTAGCTCTTGGATAATCCATTTTGATTTAAATTGTTTTTTTTTTTTTTTTTTTTTTTTTTTTTTTTTTTTTTTGGCAAAAGTTTGATGTTAATTTGTTACGTTGCAATTTCATAAGTGTGAGAATTTTTTGGAATATTTTGTTGCTAAAAAAATGTATGCAATATTCAAATATTTTTAGAGACATATATCAACAAATTGGCCAAGGGATGTGTTTGTTGCAGATATTTCAAATGGTATCATATATTTTGGGACACCCTGTATGTCAATAAAATTTAACGCAAAATAAACCAGAGACAAGTTAAACTATTTAAAAGTTTTCTTCGTTTCTCCTAAACATAAAAGTACATGTATTAGCTTGGTGATGATAAGCAATGGGCATTCTTACAAGATTGTGACATTCATGGCCCGTTCAGTCCACAGGATTGGGCTAAGTTAGTTCTATATTGAATTGACATTACACATTCGAATATCTTTAGTCATAGACATCTAGCAATCAAAGTCTTAGTATGTTATTAATGACATTAGGTAGCAATTGGTTCGCTACCAAAATTGGGAAATTCTTCCCAATTCGCTCAGGCCCAAGGATAGTGCGAAGTGTTAGATTTTTAAAAATAAAAATATATGCTTTTCACTTTGAAAATTTTCCCTATTCCTGTACCTTTAGCAATCAAAATTTACGTGATGGTCATAAACAATTTTTCCTAATTGTAAATGTTTTGTCACATGGTTCTTTCATCTTTCAGGTTGTGGCTAATTTTGTCATCTAATGAAAATTCATTTTATCTTTAAAACCTTCCATAACTTCTGAGCATGTATCAGAGAAGTTTCATTTAACGTTAAAAATTAATACAAAGTTCTTTCAAAATTGTAAACTTCATATCATATGAATAGTTTTTCTGCCCCATTTAGTGGTGAGTTTGTCACAGCCTGAGAAAACATGACAATCAAATGATTGTCAAAGTCTTTGGACCTCTTATTTTAATAAAAGAAAAGTCCAACGTTTATATACTCCATGAAATTATACATTGCGCAGAGTGCTGTCACGAGTTGTTGCAATTTCAAGAGAGTATCCATTTTTGAGGTAAAAATTGATTTCTTACATTTACTAAATCATTACGTTATCGACGGCGAACAAAGAAAAGCACGAATAATGATGGATTCCGGTCATGTTTGCAATGTTAAATAACTAAAAACCTTTAATTTCCTGCCGTGCCAATATAATATTTGAACTTAGAGTTCGGATCAAAGCAGAAAGTTTGGGGGAAGAGAGGATCTGTTGATGAAAGTTAGTTTGCAAGTCCATTTATTTGTCTTTACATTTAATGCAAAACGCGAGGCATTGGAACCGTGAAGCAGATTATAATATCTTGTAACTCGATATATTCTGTATAATTCGTAAATTTGTAAATGTTGTCAACTCAAATCAAACAATAAAGTGCATGCAAATCCTGAAATGTGTGCGTCCGTCCGTTTATGAATGAATAAAGATATAAAATCCCAGTATCTGTTTTAAATATTTCAAGGAAAAGGTTTTTACCCACAAATGACGTCAATAAAAATTAGCCGAACAAAAAGTTATTGATCCATCTTTTTAAATCAATGCATTGTAAGTATTCAAACTAACTTTTCTAAAAACGTTCAATGGAAAAAAAACCTTTAAAAGTAATTAATTTTTAAAAGAAATTGTTTGTCATATCTGGCATATTAACCTCAATTTATTCACTTCCATATAGATACAGTGAGTCGGTCCTGTGAGATAATTCAAAACACTGTTTAACTAGTGCTTCGCTTTTCCAAGTTTTAACGAAAACATTAGTAAAAATAGAGGTACTGAGAGCACTGAGTTCACTAAATGATACCCCCGCCTCCCATTTGATTATAATGGCAAAGTCCATGTTATGCCTTGGGAGACCCGAAATAAGTGTCAGATCAAAAAGTAAAATAGGAGGTGCACAATCGCACTATGTAACAAAGATTCTGTGAAAGTCTCATTAAATTTCATTCAGTGGTATAAGAGGAGTTGCGGATAAGAGATAGGTACCCCAAAGCGTAACAGACGGACGGACGGACGGACACCCCGATCACTATATACCCTCCCACTTTTCAAACGGAGGATATAATAAATATGCCCTACAGAGTAAAGCTAGTTGATATCCAAGCGTAATTATAGCTCTTGAACAAACTTCAGTCTTATTTAACCCTTACGTTTTAATTTGTTATGAGATTTTGAAAATCTATAATGCTGAATGGAATACAGATTCCTTATCATAAAGTTGAAGAAGATAGTTTATTGAGAACTAGGGATGTAAAAAACATCACGAAAATCTAGGCAAAAATACGCTATGATGAATATATTCTACCATCATGCCTAATCTAAGGGAATAAGTACTTTGAATTTGCACAAAAATAGCTATATTATAATACACGAAAATACTAACCTTGCATAATCTTAATTGGAGTATTGTGCATTTGAAAGTAATTATTATTATTATGCATTAGAATTCATGGAAAAACAACTGAAGGGACCAAAAATGCGAAAACCTGCACAAAAGCATTCTCTGAAGGACATGAAATAAAAAGTGCTCCCTCGAGAGGATCATCAAGCAATGCAAGATACAGATATACATGAATGATACAGAAGAACTTTATTGCTGACCAATACAGAAGCATTTCAAGGGGTAGAAATTGGATACTGCAGTAGAATTATTTCTTGGTGCGTTCATGATCAAGAGCATAGCGGCTACATAGCCTCCATTAAAGCTACACGTACAATCTTGAACGTTAAGCTAGCCTAGCCTAGCCTCTACGTAGGGAGGGCTAGTATAAATATTTAGTGCTAAGTACCTAAACCAAGATGTTCTCCTTAGATACAACTTCGCAGCAAACAAGATTTTAAGGAAAAAGGGAGATTATTTACTACATCTTAGCAAATCAAATGTAGATTTACATACATATATTTTCGCTTGAAATAAACTTTTGTGTTCCGTAAAATGTTTCTATTGTTTTGTTTTGTTTTTTTTAATCTTAAATCTAACGCTTTGCGGCTAGGCCAGCTATCCGTTCAATAGAGAAAGATACATGTATCTTTCACCTATCTGCTAGGTTAGCCGCTAGAATCTTGAACGCAACCCTGTTATTGAATAAGGACTTAAAATACACAAAGATTGTTTAGAAACCTCCTAACTGGATTGTGCTTTTTGCCTTCAAAGTACATTGAATATTTCAGGAAGGAGTGCAATTTGAAAGACTGAACATTTTTGGACGTTAGCATTTGTTTTAGCATGTAGGACTTTATATGCTGTTTTTATATTTAAAGTAGACATATTTTTGCAGAGATTTTTTATGTTATTTTATTCTGTGTATACTCAGTACTAGATATCAACAATTCTGTCAATTTTGGAGGGAATTAACTTTTCAGTATTATCATTATCAAAGAGTACAAATTATTTGTAGGCCTCTATAATATTCGATTAACATGTATGCTCACTAGCCCGGTAATTGACCCTTACAGAATGACATTAATAACTCTTTTGTTTATATTCTTTACAGCAACTTGATGAAATAGACATACGTTGTGTTTTGCAGCCATCTTCTGTTTGCCGGAATCTACGTCAACTTGTTGTTAGGGATGAACATTATAAATTGTATTGAAGAAAATGTTCGCCTATTCCCACTACGTGGTGAGTTTATCAAGAGAAAAGGGTAAGATAAATTCATCTTAACTGAGATATTTATCATTGAAATAGCATATGAGTTGCTGAAAGAAAGGTGTATCTTGGACTTCTCCAAGAGGGTTTTTGATTTACTA